AACAGTTGTTACCATCACTATGACTCTTTACGTTAAGATATATATAAGAAAAAAATTGACATACAAAATTCCTGTATAATTTCTTTTAATTTTTTTGGAATTTATCATATTTTTCTAAAATACTTGTCCGATGATTTGGAACCTCACTCTCGCTATACAGGATCTCCTAGACCTTAATGTCAAGCCGAAACGGGGTGATACTATCGTGAAACAAGTATTGGACCTAATTGTCCTGGAAAAGTTTGAGAAATCATCACGTGGTGTGGAAGTTGAGAGCTTTTAAGTGCAGTCTAGAGCTTGGTGAAATTATATTGTGATTAATTTTTATATTGACAGAACCAAAATATGGCATGTAACCATATGTTCAAATAGCTTGATCTAATAAAGCTAAATGAAATATAATGTAAATATTCTTATGTATTTTTCAACATCAATCTTATTAACTTCCCGTAGGGCAAGTTATAGTAATCGCAAAAAAATCGAAAATGAAATTTTTATATATCTTTACGTTCCAGAGGTTTCTGAACATTTTGGCATACCTTAGAAAAAATGGATGTATGTGTGTGTTGTGTGTGTGTGTGTATGTATGTATGTATGTGCGTGTGTGTATGTATGTGCGGATACAAATTTCGTCGACGATTTCGGGAACACGATCAACCGATTTGAATAATTCAAAAACATTCGATTCGTATTGATAAGGAGACGTGCTGATTAGTTTTTGGCAAAGGCAGGTCTAGCCGTTCCGAAGATACGGGGAAAAAAGTGCCGAAAACGGTAACTCAGTTTTTAAGAGAACGGAGCATCCGATTTGAATAATTCAAAAAACATTTCACTTGTATTGACAAGATGAAGAATCGACAAAATTTTCATGAAGGTAGGTCTAGCGGTTTCGGAGATATGGAGGAAAAAGTAAAAAAATGAGCCATTTGGCGGTCAAAAATGATCATTAGACATATGCACATCAAATTATCAGATATTTTATAGAGATTTTAACAATAAGTATACATTTGTTAACATTCCTATGGGTTCCGTACCAATGCTTATGCGTTAGATAGCGACGCGGCGCTTACGCGCTTTATATTTTGTCCCTATGCAGTTAAAGCAGTACGATTGCTTTGAAAACTAGCTGTAAGTGGAATTCTGTCTTAAGGCAATTAAGGCATCGTGCCTTAAGGCAAATTGCTGGAACTTCCCGTACCAAAAATTATTATTTTTTTAACATTTTTGAAAAAATTTCACTTCGAAAAAATAAGTTTTTTGAGAAACTATAAATTGGACAAAAAATTACTTTTTTTTGAAAAAAAAATTAAAAAAAAAAAAAAAAAAATTTTAATTTTTTTTTTTGAAAAAAAATTTTTTTTTTTATTTTGATATATTGTGGAAGATCTGAACTTTCTTTTCAAAGCAATCGTACTGCTTTAACTGCATAAAGACGAAATATCAAACCGCGTAAGCGCCGCGTCGACGTCTAACGCGTAAACATTGGTACGGAACCCATAGGAATGTAAACCAAAATTATACTTATTGTTAAAATCTTTATAAATATCTGATAATTTGATGTGCATATGTCTAATGATCATTTTTGACCGCCAAATGGCTCATTTTTTACTTTTTCCTCCATATCTCCGAAACCGCTAGACCTACCTTTATGAAAATTTTATCGATTCTTCATCTTGTCAATACAAGTAAAATGTTTTTTGAATTATTCAAATCGGACGCTTCGTTCTCTTAAAAACTGAGTTACCGTTTTCGGCACTTTTTGCCCCGTATCTTTGGAACGGCTAGACCTGCCTTCGCCAAAAACTAATCAGCACGTCTCCTTATCAATACGAATCGAATGTTTTTTGAATTATTCAAATCGGTTGATCCGTGTTCCCGAAATCGTCGACGAAAATTTGTATCCGCACATACATACACACACATACATACATACACACACACACACACACATACACACACACACACACATACATCCATTTTTTCTAAGGTATGCCAAAATGTTCAGAAACCTCTGAAACGTAAAGATATATAAAAATTTTCATTTTTGATTTTTTTGCGATTACTATAACTTACCCTACGGGAAGTTAAAAAGTTCAGATCTTTCACAATATGTCAAAATAAAGAAAAAAAAATTTTTTTTTCAAAAAAAAAAGTTTTTTATTATTTTTTTTTTTTAAAAAAAATTTCAAAAAAAGTAATTTTTTGTCCAATCTATAGTTTCCCAAAAATCTTATTTTTTCAAAGTAAATTTTTCTCAAAAATGTTAAACGTTTTTAAAAAAATAATAATTTTTTGGTACGGGAAGTTCCAGCAATTTGCCTTAAGGCACGATGCCTTAATTGCCTTAAGACAGAATTCCACTTACAGCTAGTTAATCCTATGATCAGCGTGCGGTGCTCTTATTTGCTCTATCACATTATAGCATCTAGCAATACTGCTTACAATGTTGTATTTCATATATGCGGTAAAAAAAACGTATTATTTTTGGACCATAAATTTGAAATCCAAAAATTTATGTTATTTTTAATTTTTATAAATAAACCACTTCTGATAGGCCTATAAAATTTTATGGGGTTCTGTTTGACTATCAACTCTATCGCCATGCGAAGTTTCATCAAAATCTCAGAAGGGTAAACCTGAGGAATCCCTTGTAAGAAAATATGTGGTATCTAAGTGACTTTGATACATAAATATTGAAGACGAAAAACAAGCTATTAAATATAAAATAACATGTCTTGTCATTCATGAACTAACATTGCAATAAAATAAGTACAAGTATTTTTATTACTTGTTGGACTATTATGAAATAATTAATATTCACATATATTATTTTTTGTGTAATAAATATACTGAATATATTATTTATTATTAATACTTTTTACGGTGAGTCGCAGTTTGAGAATGATGATTCAGCACTCTGAACTTATTGATTATCTGAAAACACGATTGTTGATTTACTTTTTTGCTAAAAATTATCATAATGAAAGCATTCAAATAAAATAAAATGAGTTATTTAAATTTGATCAGATTCCATTATTCTGTTGACAATAGAGGGCTACATACATAATTCATTTTACGTAGGTCATCTTAATGATTTGAACTGAATGTCAAGGTTTGTCAATTCCGAAAATCTGCAGATTGTCTATTGATATTGAGTTAGGACGCAATAAAGCTTTTTATAATATAGATTTTTTTCTTTCAAGTTCTACGGATTTTCATTTGTTCGTTTAAATCAGCAAATAATTCTGAAACTTTTATTTAAATAAAATAAAGTTGTTAGTAATAGGAATCGTAATAAACAAATAATCATTTTATTAAAGATGTTTGCAAAGTGTAATTACGGCTTGCTTTGAGATTTTTTATTTTTGAAATATATGAAAAATTTACAATTAAATTTTGAACTGAATGTGAGTGAAATGTGTAATCCGTTATCTTGTTATATTTAGGTTTTCATCTATTTACTCAAAATTTTTCATTACTTTTACAATCCTGATTAAATGTAACCAACTTTTGATGAAGGCTGCCAACCCACTTTAGTATATTTAGAAGAGCCTCTCAAAATCGATCGATTTTAAAACTTTAATTCCATAGTTTTGAAAACTTGAGGCATTTGTGAAATTATTTTTTACTGTATTCATTTACACAACAAGTAAAATGTTTAATATATGACCATGAGAATAAAGTCCAATAATAATAATATATAATATATAATGAAGTTTTATGTCAATCCTCAACTACTCATTTACACTTAAAAACTTAATAATTTGCATATCTTTGATAACAAATGCAATTAATTTTAAAATCGATGATATGATGTGTAGTG